GGCACCCGCCAACACTTCCAGCTAATTTTTGTATTTTTAGTAGAGACAGGGTTTCACCATGTTGTCCAGGCAGGTCTCAAACTTCTGACCTCAAGTGACAAGTGATCCACCTGCCTCAGCCTCCCAAAGTCCTGGGATTACAGGCATGAGCCACCGTGCCTGCGGCCTGGAATTTCTTTTTTTTTCTTTCTTTTTTTGAGACAGAGTCTTACTCTGTCACCCAGGCTGGAGTGCAGTAGCACGATCTCGGCTCACTGCAACCTCCGCCTCCCGGGTTCAAGCGATTCTCCTGTCTCAGCCTCCTGAGTAGCTGGGATTACAGGCGCCCACCACCATGCCCAGCTCATTTTTGTATTTTAGTAGAGACAGGGTTTCACCATGTTCGTCAGGCTGGTCTCAAACTCCCAACCTCATGATCCGCCTGCCTCGGCCTCCCAAAGTGGGGATTACAGGCATGAGCCACCGTGCCTGGCCTCTGGAATATTTTTATAAGGCCCTGGATGACTTTAAGGAAGGGTAGGCAGCTCTTGCCATCTGACATCTCAGCTCCGAGGGCCTGGGCCACAGAAAGTTGGTTTTACTTTACCGTCCTTGACCCCAATTTCTGCTGTTACTGGCAGAGGGGCAAATACCATCAAGGCCGGTGGGCAAGGGCACAATGAAAGGCCTCCCGGTCCCCCCTGTCAAGGGTCCAAGGCTGAGGTGGGTGAAGACACTTCTGGTTTCTAGGTAGCTTTGGATCTATCTTGTAAGAGCCACTTGACCTAAAATCTTGTATTCAGAAAGATTTTTAGACTAGATTCCTTTTTTTAGAGACAAGATATTGCTCTGTCACCCAGGCTGGAGTGCAGTGGCACGATCACAGCTCACTGCAGTCTCAAACTCCTGGGTTCAAGTGATCCTCCAGCCTCAGCCTCACAAGTAGCTGGGACTACAGGTGCCCACCAGCCACTGGGCTTGCTTGCTTTCCTCTTCTCTTTTCTTTTTTTATTTTCTTTTATTTTCTTTCTCTACCTTTCTTTCCTTCCTTCCTTCCTCTTTCTTTCTCCTTCCTTCCTTTCCTTCCTTCTTTCTTTCCTTCTTTTTCTTCTTTCTTTTCCTTCCTTCCCTCCCTCCCTCCCCTCCTCTTTCTTTCTCTCTCTCTCTCTCTCTGTCTCTCTTTCTTTCTTTCTACATAAGGGTCTCACCATGTTTCCCAGGATGATCTTGAGCTCTTGGCTTCAAGTGGTCCTCCTTCCACCAATGCCTGAAGTTCCATCGTCATGGGCGTAAGCCACTGCATCAGGCCTAGATTCGTTTCTTAATGTTCTCTCCGGAAGATATCACAGGGTGGGCACAGCCTTCTTCTGATGTGGTTGAACGAGAAAGCCATCACAACACTTCAAACTGTGTCCCAAACTGGGCGCAGTGGCTCACGCCTGTAATCCCAGCAGTAAGAGAGGCCGAGGTGGGCAGACCACTTGAGGTCAGGAGTTTAAGACCAGCCTCACCAACATGGCGAAACCCCATCTCTACTAAAAATACCAAAATAAATTAGCTGGGCGTGGCGCACGCCTCTAATCCCAGCTGCTTGGGAGGCTGAGGCAGGAGAATTGCTTGAACCCAGGAGGCGGAGGTTGCAGTGAGCTGAGATCGGCAGTGAGCTGAGATCGTGCCACTGCACTCCAGCTCTGGGCAACAAGAGGAAACTCCAAAATAAATAAATAAAAATAACCACCAAAACCAAACTGTCCCAAGGATGCCTCTGAAGCACTCTATATTCCACCATTGTCCCATGGCTAGCATACAAATCCCTTCGTTGCGATGATGTTTCACATTTGTTCAATCCAAGTGTTTAAACCTGTCATACAATACTTTCTGTCTGTTCACTGGGAAGTTCCTCATTGCGAGCATTTCGGGAGGCTTGGGAGGTGGCGGTAACTGGTGCTGGTACCCTCCTGTCCTCCTTCCCAGGCCTCAAGGAAAGCGCCCATAGGTGAGAAGGGGCAAGGCCTGCGCCTTACTCTCTCTGTGTGGGCCTGGGAGCCCGGAGTCCAGCCTTTCTCAGAGGCTCAGCACAGCTGGGTGCCCTCCAGGCTCCTTCTGCCTGGTGGCTGCTCCCAGTTCTGGCTGGGTTTTTGCATCACTCCTCTGGCCAGAAACCTGGGTGCGGGTGGGGCTTCTTCTGGGAGAAGGCTAGGTGGGCCTCTGGGGGCTTCCGCCCAAGAGCGAGCTGTTTTCTCGGAGTCTGGCAGTGCTTCCACTGCTAAACTGATTTCAGGGCCGCCACTCGCTTGAGTCACGGAAGCTAAGCCAGGCCTGCTACAAACGGCAGGCCTCAGGAAGGATCTCAGGAAAATTCATGGGGATTTCAATTGCAAGATAAAGGCAGGGCCCTGGCTGCCTTTGATGGCCTGGTTTTTCCTTCTGTACTGATCCAGGTGTCCCAGAGGCAGGTGCAGGGCCTGAACTGGAGAGATGAGGTGAGCTTCCAGGGCTCCAGGACTCAGGGCACAGGAGGTGGGTGGAGCAGCACCTGAGGCTTCTGAGCCAGCACTGCTGCAGCTATTTCAGTTCTCCAGAGGGGCCGGCTGGGCCGTTACACACGGCCGTGCCTGCTGCGCCCCGATTCCACCTCCACTAGCTCAGTGTATTCCTTTTTTTTGAGACAGAGTCTTGCTCTGTCACCCAGGCTGGAGTGCAATGGTGCCATCTCAGCTCACTGCAACCTCCGCCTCCTGGGTTCAAGCAATTCTCCTGCCTCAGCCTCCCAAGCAGCTGGGATTAGAGGCATGCGCCACGCCCAGCTAATTTATTTTGGTATTTTTAGTAGAGATGGGGTTTCGCCATGTTGGTGAGGCTGGTCTTAAACTCCTGACCTCAAGTGGTCTGCCCACCTCGGCCTCTCTTACTGCTGGGATTACAGGCGTGAGCCACTGCGCCTCAGCTCACTACCTTCCAGATTCAAGCGATTCTCCCACCTCAGCTTCCCGTGTAGCTGGGACTACAGACACGCGCCACCATGCCCGGCTAATTTTTGTAGTTTTAGTAGAGACGGGGTTTCACCATGTTGGCCAGGCTGGTCTCGAACTCCTGACCTCAAGTGATCCTTGGCCTCACAAAGTGCTGGGATCACAGGTGTGAGCCACTGCACCCAGCCCCAGTGTTTTCCTTTTTCACAGTTTCAGCTCAGACATCCCCTCCTCCAGGTGACAGCACCAAGCTCACCAATCACTGTTGCCATGTACTCCTACAGGAAGTCTGTCTCAGGCAATCCCCCTAAAAGTCCTATAAGGCAGGCGTTGTGACTCCTACTTTACCAAGGAGGAAACAGAGGCCCAGAGAAGTGAAGCAGTGCCCGGGGTCCCCCAAGCTGGCGACACGCAGCAGGGGGAGACACAGCCTCTCTCTTTCAACACAGCTTGAAAGAAGAGCCGGCGAGGATGCTGCAGGCTGGATGGAGACAACTCCTGCAGGAAGGGCCACGGTAGGACACCCCCAGCCCAGCCTCGCTCTGTCTCGGTGCCCTGGACCATAAGGGCAGCGAAGTGCTCACCTGTTGACTCAAGTCTCTCCCTGAGACGTCTAGTTCCTCAAGGGCAGAGACCTGTGCTGTTTATCACCTTAGCTCTAGGGGCTCTAGCAGCAGCTCTGTGCCTGGCACACAGAGGGCCAGCAGGTATTAGCTCCATGAACAACTGACCTCTAAGCTTCAGTCTTTTCTATTTTTATTTTTGAGACAGAGTCTCGCTCTGTCACCCAGACTGGAGTGCAGTGGCACAATCTTGGCTCACTGCAGCCTTCGCCCCCCAGGATCAAGCCATTCTCCTGCCTCAGCTTCCTGAGTAGCTGGGACCACAGGCGCTCACCACCATGCCCTGCTAACTTTTTTGTATTTTTAGTAGAGATGGGGTTTCAGCATGTTGTCCAGGCTGGTCTCAAACTTCTGACCTCAAATGATCCACCTGCCTCAGCCTCCTAAAGTGCTAGGATCACAGGCATGAGCCACGGTGCCTGGCCTAGCCTCAGTCTTTTCATCTGGAAAATGGGTTAGTTCAGTAAGCTGCTATTCTCCATGTGCTTAGGTCTTCTGGGGGTGGGGTGGGGGAAATGGGGACTGTTAAATTATCAGTGATCAGCTGTTGCCTTTTTTGCTACATTTCCTCTCCAAGTTGCTATTAGAAAAACCATCCTGGGGTCCCCGTGCCCAGGGTCCAGAGTGAACACAGCCTTCCTTGCCTCCCCTAGAGCAAGGAAGAAACCCCTCCAGATTTCTGAAATTAGGGCCCAAAGAGGAAAAGGGGACATGAGCAAGTTCTGTGCATCGGCTGCAAGATAAGAAAGACGACCGATAATCCCAACATTTGGGGAGGCCAAGGCGGGCGGATCACCTGAGGTCGGGAGTTCCAGACCAGCCTGGCCAACATGGTGAAACCCCGTCTCTACTAAAAATACAAAAATTAGCTGGGCGTGGCGACGCCTGCCTGTAATCGCACATACTCAGGAGGCTGAGGCAGAATCACCTACACCCGGGAGGCGGAGGTTGCAGTGAGCCGAGATTGCACCATTGCACTCCAGCCTGGGCAACAGGAGCCAAACGCCGTATCAAAAAATAAAAGTAAAAAAAGAAGAAAGAAAGAAAGAGGACAGAGAGGGCAAGGACACCACAGACAGGAGGAGTCCAGCTCACTCCCCCTGGCTGGGGTCCCTGGGACCCCCTCTGTGGCATCAGGACTGCCCGCTGGGTTGGGTGGTGTGTTCTGTGAATGTGACCCATGTTGGCCAACAGAGGACAGCAAAATACATTTTTTATGATCCTGGGAGGTTCAGGCCAGTCACGTTTTCGCGCAGAGAGGCGGGGCGGTGGAGAGGGACAAGTCATGTCTCAGTTATGTGGATTCTCTTTGCGAAAGAGGGGCCACTTCTGCAATGGATTTGGGGGTCCCTGGGCAGGCGTGTGGGTGGGGCAGATTTTAGGAAGGGGATGAGCTGCTGTGGGGGCGTCTCCCTTACTGCGGGAAATGGAAAGTATTACAGCTATGGCTGGTGAGAGTGTCAGTGCCAGAGGCCAGGTCTTTGCCAGGTGGAGAGGACACCCTTATGCCCTACCTCCAAGTTCCAGCACCTTTCCAAGAGCCCTTGGCCCCAGAAGCAGCAACAAAGTGACACTGGACTGGGGAGGAGGAAGCACAACTTTATTTTCTGGCCCGAAGGTGGGTTGGTATTTGGAGGAGTTCTTGGGAACACAGTGTGTCTGTGCAGTTTCAATCCAGGGACTCCAGCCATCCCAGAGGACGTGAGGAAACGTCCTGGGGTGGGTGTAAGAGGCTGGGAGACCCCGCCTGATGCTGCTCCTACTTTTACTGTTTGTTCACGGGGTTGTGTGTGTGGGGGGGTAGGGGGGTGCTGAAAATTGGGGAAAGGGCCAGAAGCGCCAGCTGGCAGTGGCACTGGGTGTTCCCGAAAGAGGGGGGCAGACCGGGTCTGAATCTTCAGTGGATGCACCCCCAGCTCCGGGATACCTCAAGTGCCTTTGGAGGACTCCTGCACACCCCTCGGGAGGGAAGTCCGGCCTCGGTTCCGTCTCTGGGCTGCGGTGGTACTGGAAGTGGGGACTCTTTCCCCCTCCTCAGTGCCCCTAGTTTGAAGCACCCCGGGCTCTGCCCCCCGCTCCCAGGTCGAGGCTGACGTCGCCGCCGCATTTCTAGGAATGCCCCTATCCGCTGACTATATTTGGCGAGGGTTTCTAGGAAGGCGCCCCCCCACCCCGGCCCCCGCCCCCACCCCACCCCCACCCCCACCCCCACCCCCACCCCTACCCCCACCCGGGCGGGCGCGCTCGGCTTCCAGGCTCTTGCCCTCTCTCCCGGGCTGGGGAGGAACCGCCCCGCTGCCTGGGCCGCCGCCGCCGCCGCCTCCCCAGCGCGGCCAACCCCGGGCTGGCCCAGCCCCCGCCCCGGGCCGGCCATAGGGCGCTGGGGGGGCGGGGGGGGCCGGGGGCGCGGCTTTGTGGCGGCAGCGGACGGTGGAGGCCGGGTGCAGCCCCGTCGGCTGCGCGCTCTCTGCAGAAAAGGATTTTCTATGCTCCCCGCCCATCACTTGGATCTCGTCTGGGGAGGGGCGGATTTTTTTTCTGGAAGTACCCTTCTTCTTCACGGTGGAGGATTTAAGGCTGGGCTCCAATCGAGGCGGAGGCTGCAGGGCCCGCGGGGCGCCCCCCACGCCCGGCGCACGCCTGCCTGGAGCCTGGGAAGGCGCAGCCCCGGCGGGGGGGGGCCGTGCACCCCCGGAGGCAGCAGCGGCGGTGAGTGCTCCCCTTCTTCCCGCCTGGCACCTTCCCCCAGCCAGGGCAGGGATCGCGGCAGGTGGGCGCCCAGGCCCCCAGGGCCGAAGGGGTGTGGGGCGGCTGCCTGCGGGGTGGATGGGAACGGGAGCGGGGAGGTGGCGGCGGGGGAGCGCGCGGCTCTCTCGGGACCCGGCGCGAGACGCTTGTCTGGGCTGAGATCGCCGCCGCTGCCGCCACCCCGGCTCCCCCTCGAACCCCTCCCCCGCTCCCCAGAGGGGCGTGTGAGGCCGGGAGGTAGGAAGGGGGCGAGGCCGCCCCCAGCCTCCCTTGTGCCTGGGCTTGGAAATTGACTAGGCGTTGGAGCGTCCGCGTCCCCGCCCCCACCCCGGAAAGCCCGCTCGGGAAACTGACTCGCTGCGTGACCCCGATCTCAATGCCGCGCGCGGAGCAGGCCGGCCGCGCCCGCCGCTCCACGTGCGCCCGGGCCCCGCTGGCATGGGCGGCGGCGCCTGCGGGGGCCGGGCCCCGGGGATTCCGGACCGGCCGGGAACCACCGTCCCCAGAGAGTTACCGCCGCCCCCTAAATAAAGTTGTCTGCGCCCTCCTCCCGAGAAGCAGGCAGCCCTCGCGCATTGGCTTTAGCTTCTGCAGGACGGGGGCAAAAAAAAACTAGGTACCGGGGTGCGGAGCTGGGTGTCTGTGCCCGAGACGACACCAAGTTAGGAAAAAGAAGTTAGAAAAAAAGAAAGAAAAGGAAAAAGAAAGGAAAAAGGCATTTTGATTTGGGGGTGGGGGGGAGTGGCGTTTCTGGTTTCTCTTTGCTTCCAATCCCCACCAAGCGGAGCGTTGGAATGCGCCGCTCATGTCCTCTGAGGACACATCCATATTTATAATTTATTTTTAGGAGAAGTTGTGAAAAAGGGAGGGGGGTTAAAATGAAGAGAAAAGGTGCGTGGGGGAGTGGCCTTTCCAGAACCTAGAGGCTAATTGAGCTATTAAAATGGAAATCACTTCCCCCAATTTGGGCGCGCAGCAAATTTGACTTTAATGAGAGACGATTAAGGACACAACGAAACTTTTTTTAGCTGGAGATGGCGTGGGGGGGGGTGGGGTGGGTGGACTGTACGAGACACCTCGGACACCGGATTTATCCGCTGCTAAGGGACGTTGGGGGCACCCCCTCGTGTTCTCCGGGAAGCTTTCAGGCCTGTTTACTGGGCGAGATTGGTGATTGCTCCCTGAGGGAAGAGACACCCCGGGATCAAGCGATTCTCTTGCCCTCAGCCATGGGGTGGGCAAATGCCCCCTCCTCCCATAGCGACCCCCTGGCATTTTGGTGAGATGAACCGCCGCCCCGAGGGAACACCTGGTACCGATTCCTTCAGCGATCCGGGATTCTCCAAACTCCTGCCTCAAAGGCGGCCTGCCCCGGTGCTGTCAGCCGTGAATGGGGACTCATTTCTTAGGAAAAGAGGTTTTGGAGGTTGTGGTCTCAGAATCGGGGTTTTGAGGGCGAGATGAGTTTATGTTTTATCCAACTGGCCCTCAAAGTCCCGCTTTTGGGGTCATTCTGGACAGCGAAGGACTCAGGCCCGGGCAGTCCCGGGAGGGTGAGGGCAGAGAGCTACCACCCCCAGGGAACGCATCTAAAACCCGGCTGCGTGGGGGAGCTGGGGAAGGAGGGGGAGGTCTGCTACTTGCATAGAACTAAAAGGCCCCTTCGAGGGCGGTATTCTTGTATGTGTGTGTTCTCAGTTTGCCGAACCTACTGTGTTTTCCAAGGGCGTCTTTCCTTGGGAGGCCGAAAAACGATGCAAAGAGGAGAAAGTACATCCCCCCTGGCCACCCCCACAATGGTTTAAGGGACAGGATTGGATTGGAAAGGAATTAGTAGGATGTCGGTTGTGGCAAAGTGTTTGAAACCCCCAAATAAGGCACTCCTGAAATGATGAATTGTGATGACATTAGATTTGTCTTTACGTTTGTTAAATTAGGAGCAACCAGCTGTTTGCTTCCACCTGGAATTGCAACATTTCTTTGCAACTCTTTGCTACTTTGCTGTTGAAGGCGTTCTTTTTGTTTTTGTTTTTTGTTTTTTGAGACGGAACCTTTGCTCTGTTGACCAGGCTGGAGTGCAGTGGCGCGATCTTGGCTCACTGCAACCTCTGCTGCCCGGGTTCAGGCGATTCTCCTGTTGCAGCCTCCGGAGTAGCTGAGATTACAGGCCCGTGTCACGAAGCCCAGCTAATTTTTTGTATTTTTAGTAGAGACGGGGTTTCACGGTGTTAGCCAGGAGGGTCTCGATCTCCTGACCTCGTGATCCGCCCACCTCGGCCTCCCAAAGTGCTGGGATTACAGGCGTGAGCCACTGCGCCCAGCCAGGCGTTTTATAAAAGCCTGGTTAATACGTTCGGGGGAACTCTCTAAAGCAAGGGTAGTGGGTATAAATCCCCCTCGCAGAACATTAACCTTCAGTTGTGTGTACACACGTACACACAGGCACACTCCCTATATAGTTGTAACCTATATAGACTTCCATACATCATAAGTTATTTGCAAGTCTAGATTTAAATTAAGTCTGCACAGCAGGGAATAGAAGTGAGCTGTACCTGGAAAAAACTTTTGAACACAGCGTTCTTGATACAAGATTTAGGATTTGAAAGACATGGCACATGTACACACAGATGACATTTGTGCTGCCTTGGCAAAAACAGTTCTTTACTTCCAGAGTTCTTTCTCTTTAGTATGGGACACGATGAAACAGCACAATTTTCAGGAGTCCACAATTCCAGCGAGGCGCACGGATGGGAAATTGTCACGTTGTGAATTGTGTTTGTGCTTTGCTAAATCGCCACCCGGAGCTGACTGTCAAATCCTATTTGCTTTGCTAAATAAGGATATCTCATCAAATTAGCCTTTAATGATACTTCCACAAATAGGGTGTTTTACGTGAATTAACGAGGCCGGAACACTCACTGTTTCTCCAAGATACTGAGCTATAATGGAGGCGACGAAGCCGAATGTTAAAATTACTGAATTGTTAAGTGTGCAAAATCAGACAGAATTTAGTGCTAAATGTGAAACAATTTCTGCTTTAATGGTGAGCGTTCGCAACAGCACAAGCATTACTTATATTCAGCCGTCTGAAACTGTGCATGTAATTATGAATACATTTAGCAAACTTTTTCCCCCTGAGTCTGGAAACAGTCTAGTATGGTGAAGAGATTATAAATCAGCATTTTGCAGTGAGAAGTCATCATTAATTCAGCAAAGAATCACAGCTTCTTTTCAGATCCTTCCCACCACCCTCCTACACAACCCCCTAAACCAATAAGGAAAAAAAAAAATTCAACATGGAACTCCTGGATACACTGAATATATTTTGGCTTTTCTCTTTTTGCCTCTGTGTGAGAAACTTCATTAAGCAGTTGCTGTTCCCTCCCCACCCCCGCCAACCCTCAAAGAAGTGTGGATTTAAGAAAAACAAAACAAAACAAAAAAACAAGCAACTTTGAAATTTGTTCTTAGCAATACTCAAGCCATAGCTGATCTCAGAGAGGCAAAAAATATGTTTCAATAGAAAAGAATACGGTATGGCCAGGGGTAAAATATTTAGAGGTGGTTCTGCAATGAATATGATACTTCCTTAAAAATAAAACGTGCGTTGGTGACTCAAACTAATGAAAGTTGGAAAAGTCCCTCCAAGGGAACACTCTCTGTTTCCCTTCCCAGCAACCCCCCAACTTAACGTTATGAACAGAAAGATGAAATTTCTTACCAGATCAACTACAGCCTCCTACAAGTCGATCAGCTCACCCTCCTTTAATTTAGATTGTGGGGTAAATACAGCTATTTTAGCCATGAGGATAAAAATGAGTGCAGTGAAAACTTAAGGCAAACTTGGTCCTTAAAATCACTCGCCAGAATAAAGTGCGTGTGCAAACAAAACACTGCTGATCAATTACTTTAAACAGGCATTTTCTTTCTCGCCTGAGCACCCCAAACACAGGAAAATGTCGAGTTCCTTTTGCTTCTTGTATCTGGAACAAGGTGACAATAAACCCTAAACAAAAACACTGACACTCACAAACATGATATAAACTACATAGACTTTTCAGGCCTAGTAGCCAAGCCAGACTTTTCAGGGAAACAGATGGATGTTGAAAGAATTTAGAAGGAGTGGACTTGGGGTTCCCTCCATCACCCCGTGCCCAGGTGACCCCTTCTGCCCTTCTCATGACCTTTTTTCAAAGCAGCCAGTGTTCAGATGCTGCCTTTCCAGCGTCCCCAGTTGTAGGGGACATATGCACATATTTACCAAGCTTTAAAATAAGGTTTCTGATTTTACATCATCTTCCTTATATGAAACATCTGAGTTTACGGAATCACAAAGCAAACTTCTTTCTCCATGTCCCTGAAATGCTGCACCACTGCAGCGAAGGGGACTTCGCCTGGGCGGGGAGAGAAGTTAGTGGCTGGTTGTGCCTGAGGTTAGCTGTGCGGTGTGGTATGAAAGTTTTCTCAGAGATGTGCAAAAATCTAGGCCGTCTTGCTGGAATCGTGTGAGATCAGTGCTGGGCCTGTTGGCATTGGCAGCCAGACCTCTGCCAGCAAGGCCCAGATGTGGCCTTAGAGCCGCTACTGGTGCCGAGATGAGTCCAGACAGGTGCCTGGGGGTCTTTCCTCCCGGGATGAAGCACGCAGCAGTTCAGCCAGAAGATGGGGTGTTTGGCTCGCAAAGGAAGCCTCCCCAGAGACTCTGCAGGATTTAATAGCCTGGTGACCCTGTGGGCTCTGGTGAGGGCAGAACCGCACTTTGCTAAGCACAACCTTCCAAATGCTTAAAGGGGCTGTGAGGCTATCCCACAGGCTCAGAGCACATCTGTCCTGTGTGAGTGCAAACGTCGCTCTAGAAGATTCAGAGGCAACGCTGAACTTTTGCAGCCCAGCCCGGAGCCCTCTCTCTGGAGCACTAGGGCTGCGATCCTTCGATTTGGGGTGGGCCTAGGAGGCGTAGC